AAACCAGCCCGATTGGGGAGGGGCAGACTGGCCAACCTCCCCATGGCCCCTTCCCCCAGTTGGCCCCGCCCCCACCCCCAATGGGCCCCTACTACCCCGATCGGCCCACGGCCCCTTCCGCCAGACAGCTCTGCCCCCAATAAGCCCCCCCCAACACTCTGATCAGGGGCAGGAACGGCCAACCCACCACCCATGGCCCCTCCCCCAGGCCACTGGCCCCTGATCAGCCCCCCACCCCATTCAGGGATGGGGCCGACTGTCCCACTGCCCAAGCTCCTCCCCATGGCTGGCCCTGCCCTCAATCGGACCCCCCACCCCAATTGGGGGCGGGGCCCACCAGCCAATCGCCCATGGCCCCTCCCCACAGCTGGCTCAACCCTGATCGTTTCCTCCTCCCAATAGGCCTGGCCCTGATCCACCGACTGGAGCTAGGCCAGCTGGCTGGACCCCACCCATGCATGAATTCGTGCACTGGGCCTCAAGTATAATGATATTAACTAATGTCAACCCAATAAATTCAATAAAAAGTAAAATAAATAAACCAATTAATATGTTTTAAATTGTTACAAAGATGCAAAGAAATTTTGTCACCTAAGGAAACATCATTTAGCCCTGGCCAGTGTGGCTCAGTTGGTTGAGCATTGTCCCATGCTCCAGGAGGTCTCTGGTATGATTCCCAGTCAGGGCACATGCCTGAGTTGTGGGCTCGATCCCCAATAGGGACATACAGGAAGCAGCTGACTGATGTTTCTCTCACACATTGATGTCTCTCTTCCTCTCTCTCTCTCTCTCTCTCCTTTCTTCCCTCCCTCCATCCTTCCTTCCCTCCCTCCCTTCCTCCTCCCTCTATCTCTTCATCTCCCTTTTTCTCCAAAAACTTTGATAAAGCCCTAACTGGTTTGGCCCAGTGGATGGAGCGTCGGCCTGTGGACTCAAGGGTCCCAGGTTCGGTTCCGATCAGGGGCATGTGCCTTGGTTGCGGGCACATCCCAGTGGGGAGTGTGCAGGAGGCAGCTGATCGATGTTTCTCTCTCATTGATGTTTCTGGCTCTCTGTCCCTCTCCCTTCCTCTCTGTGAAAAATCAATAAAATATATTTAAAAAAATAAATAAATAAAATAAAAACGTTGATAAAAACATATATATCTATATACATATAGGTAGATAGATACCTATATCTATATCTATAATCTACATATATCTAAATAAATAAAATTTAGCCCTTGCCAGGTGGCTCAATTGGAGCATCATCTCGTATACCAAAAGGTTGCTAGTTCAATTCTTGGTCAGGGCACATACCTAAGTTGTGGGTTTGATCTCTGGTCAGAGTGTATAGGGAGACAACTAATCAATGTTTCTCTCTCACATCAATGTTTCTCTCCCTTCCTCACTCTCTAAAACCAATAAACATACCATTGGGTAAGGATAAAAAAGAAAAGAAATATCATTTAGTCATTAAAAAATTCAGTAAAATTAGCTGGAAAGACAAAGGCTGAAATTTCTCTTTATTCTTGAGGGCCCCAAACATTTTAAGTGACAGCATACCACACTTGAAGGGAGGAAAGGCCAAAACTAGAAATGTCAACTTAATTTCTCTAAAATTTTTTAGCCCTTCACCCTGAGCTAACTATATCATCATCACCAATCACCATGTTCAACCCAGTGGAACTTTAAAAAAACAGAAAGCTGGGGAAATAGACTCTAATAAGGTCTCTTGGAATATACAGATTACACCCACTATTAAATTTCTGAGTTGGATAACGCTAGACATTTCCAACCACTTCCAGGACATTCTGAACCTTCCTCTGCGGCCGCATGTTGAACTGTATTTGAAGGGCTGACCGTGGAGAGGCAGGCCTCTGTCTGCTGCTCTCTACTCCACTTACTTGGTGGTCTTGTGAACAAGCCAGGCCTCATGTTGACCATGAAGCTGCTCAAGATATTCCAGCTCAATTCCTCTCTCTTCTTCCCTGCCCCTCCGGTGTAGTCTCTTCAAACAAACCTAAAAGATAATAATTCCAGGGCCCCGTTGAGCTCATTTGTTTTCTTGGCTGTTACAATGCAGTTTTGGGGGACTCTCAGACCCACTCAAGCTTTCTTTCATGGGCACTACAAGCCAAGACTTTCCTCCTGTGGTCTTGTTTTCTCATTCAATCACAGGTTAAGGGTAAACATTATCCACCTATGAACCTGGAATCACCTTTCTTTTTCCTCCTCCCAACCACACCCAGAAGTCACTGCATGTTCTTTAATCTCTCTCTAGTTCATTCTCTCCTTGTCTCTCTCTTCTCTACCCCAGTCATGTCCTTATCACCTCTCACCTGAACTACAGCAAGAGCCTTCTGGCTCTCTGCCTCCTAGCGACGGTGATGTGTATGGGGAGGGCCCAGGCCTAATGTCAGAAAGTCCAGGATAAAGTTCCCGTCTCCACCATGCACTAGCAGTGCAATCTTCGTGGGCTTCCATTTCCTCACCTGCACTCTCCCACAAGCTGCTGTGAGGATTCACCCAGGTAAGCATGCCACATTCCTAGTCACAGCTGTTCTTTCCTCCCAGTCTGTCGCTCAGTCCTCTCTTCCATAGGACTCCAAAATAATGGCCTTCCTCTCCTTGCCTAAAACACTTCACAGGCTCATTGCATACCTACAGCCACCACCCCTGGGTTCGAGCAGATATGAGTAGCATTATATTTACGAAAGAATAAGTAATCGGAAACATCTCTTTCAAACAGCACTCATTGCAGCAGAATGCAAAATCTGCATAGGTCAGATAAAAGGCAAAAAAAAGGGGGGGCGGTTTGGGACTAACTCTCCTTCCCTCCCTCCTTCCAGAGTGTGCTATTTCCATTCTGCTCTCACATGGTAGAAAAGTTTGAAGCACAATGGCTCAGAGAATGTCACCTTTACCTGTCACAAGACCATTCCTGGAGTCTGGGCACCTCTCCTATGTCTCCACTCTCAACTTCCTTAGCTCCTCTCCGGGGCTCACTGCTTCAGCCGGAGCTGAACTCCTGCCTGCAGGCAGGGCACGCTTTCACCCCTCCACGCTTCTGCCCCAAATGTCTGCTTTGCCTGACCTGCCTGCCTTCCTCTCTGCCTGGCAAACATTTCATCACTCAATGTCATCTGTCCTGGAAGGACAGGTGGATTAACCCACTGATTCAGGACTACCCTCTTCCAACACTTAAAAAACCTATCCCCAAATGTCAACTCTATCCCCAAATACAGTGCACAATATTCCCAAAGACGTGGTCTTTGCTATTTCCTCTTGTCCTATCGTCCTTCTAAGGCAGCGGTTCTCAACCTGTGGGTCGCGACCCCTTTGGGGGTGGAACGTCCCTTTCACAGGGGTTGCCTAAGACCATCAGAAAACACATATATAATTACATATTGTGATTAATCATTATGCTTTAATTATGTTCAATTTGTAACAATGAAATTGGGGTCACCACAACATGAAGAACTGTATTAAAGGGTCGCGGCATTAGGAAGGTTGAGAACCACTGCTCTAAGGCAAGCATGTCAAGCTTGTAGCCCACAGGCCACATGAGGCCCACAACGAATATTTTTGCGGCCCAGCTAATATAACACTGTATGAAACGTTTTAATAACAATTTCATAACTTAATTTTTACAATGTCCTGTTATACATAATCTTATATAATAAAAGGCAAATATGCAAATAGACCGAATTGCGGAACAACTGAACAACTGGCTACTATGACATGCACTGACCACAGGGGGGGTGTGCGGAGCATGGCAGGCACTGGCCATGCTGGGATGGTGGAGCAGGTGAGCAGGGGCGCCAGACCAAGGCAGGGTGCCAGTCGCTGTCATCAGGGTGAGCCTCTGCTGGTTACTGAAAGTTCTTTGCTCCAGTAAGCCACGGTCCTGCCTGGTGCTCACACCTGCTGCCAGCACCAGCCCCGCTTGCACCTGCAGCCGGTGCCGTAGCTGCTGCTCGTACCCGCTGATGGTGCTTGGCGCCATCAGCTGATACCAGTGGTGGCTGCCAGCCCTGATTGCCCCTGAGGGCTTCTCCACCTCCCCCTGCTCCTGAGGGGCGATCAGGGCAGCAACCGCCACTTGCACCTGCTAATGGTGCTGGTCCCAATCACTCCGTGCCATCATTGGGTGCGAGTGGGGCCAGCGCCGTCAGCAAGTGGGAACGGTGGTGGGAGCAGGGCTGCCAGCAGACAGGGAGCTGGGGGCCGCGGCAGGAGGGGCCGAGTGGATGGGCTGAAACCCGCCCCTGTGCCTACCGCAGCCTTGCGGCTCACAGTTCTTTTCAAGGTGCACGAATTTGTACACTGGGCCCCTAGTTATTAATAACAAACTATAACACTCGCTAATGACTGATTACTATAATCGTGTTGCATTCATTTCCCTTACGCACCTGCTGCACAGGTGCGCCATTTCTCTCCACTAATACGAGCAGCGAATATTTTAGCAGCCGAATGCCACGTCATTAGTCTTGGACTAACTTGTTTGGTGTGTGCAACAGGAAATGTTTTGCTTTCGGAGAACAAGGAAAATAGGTTTACTTGTGTTACAATTATTAATTTGTGCAGTTATTCAGTGTCTGGTAAGTTAATGTTCAAGTAAAAATATTAATTTTTATTAACATGTTCTATTATTTTATGTTAACGATTACTCATTTATTTCAGCCCTTTGTATTCAGCATGCCTCTATCGAAATAAACCTACGTTTCTATGAAAATTGAAGCTTTTGTTTTTTTGTGGCCCATAAACTTAAACCTTGTTTATTTGGCCTGTGTTAGCCTTTGAGTTTGATGTGCTTGCTCTAAGGAGATAAAGTTACATACACAGATCTCATTCACGATCTTATGTCCAACTTTTCAAATTGATTAACAGAGACAGATCTAACATGTTAATACTCTTAGGACTTATGCCTTCTGGTCTCTCCCTCTTCCTGAATCAATAATTGTCCCAAACTCAGATGAAGTCCTTGTACCAGGAATTGTATAGTGTAGTTATATAAGGAAAACAATATGCAAAATAGGGACTCAAGTGCCAAACTGTGAGGTTAGGATTGAAGTGCAGCAGTCAGATAAGGGAGAGAGCAGTTGGGCCCCAACAGTCCGACAGGTGTTTCCTGGAAGGAGCAGGAGCTCCCCCTTTATCTCTGGTACCAGCTCACTGAGCACCACTCTGAGAGCCGGCTGCTGTGCGAGGTGCTGGGCAAACACGGTGGCATTTTGGCTGTATCGGGTGACACGGGGAGGTCTGCACAAGGTGCTCCAACGGCACAGTGACGGGGGAGGGGGTGGGGGGGGCGCGGAGACGGGAACCTAGGAGGCAGGCCAGAGTCCATCCTGTTCAGGGATGAGCCCTGGGCCTGGCAGAGTAGGAGGTCAATAAGTATTTGCTGCAGGTATTCACTTAATGTTTTAATATCTGACGTAGTCTCCCTCCATCCATTTACCTTTTCCTCCTACTTTTATCTTTTTCATTTCTACTTTCCTTCACTCTGAACCTGCCTCTTTTGCTTTCCTTTTACCTTTCTACCCTTTCATCCCCACCCTACAGCCAATAGCTCAAGACATTTCCCCTTATTCTCCTCCCTCCCCAATCACAGCTTTACACCCGACTTGCAGCTACGCAGTTCTCTACCCCACTGACAACCAACCAATGTTACTGACTTTTTTTATACTTTCAGAAATATTGTACACATATGTATTCTTACCCCCATATTTACATACACATATCTACATATATCTTTTTAAAAAAATATGTATGTAAAAAGTGTCCTACTATATATTCTGTTCACTTCGCTGTTTCCATTAACTTGCTTTTACAAACAATGCTGCCTTGAATATGAGACATTTTGCCCACGTGGGCGTACATTCATGGAGTAAGTTCCAAGGAGCATAATTAATAGGTCAAAAGGCATGTGTACTTGCTGGTATACTCTGCCAAACTGCCTCCTTAGAAGCTAACCACTCTAAACGCCCGCCAGCAAGGTAAGCTTCAGGATTATTAAACATAGCAAAGCTCCCTAAGTTTCCTCTCTGAGAGAAAAATGTTATCAGAATTCATGAAAATGCATGTTTTTAAAAAATGTGACTTTACGTTTTTAATTATACACAAGGGAAGAGCAATTTTTATAAAAGCTTTATTTACTCATTCATTGCTGGCAGGCCAACACGGATGCTAAGGTCTCTCCTATTAAAAGGCTAACATTTCCTTTTTGACTATTTATTTGCTTAACAGAGCAAACTCTATCCGGCAGAAGTCTAGGTAAACTATTCTGAGCATTTGGCATAATTCTTGCTTTACTGACACAGTTGCAAAAATTATTTAAAAAAAAATCCTGCACAAACAGTGCTTCAGTCTGGTCCCTCTTCACCTCAGTCCCATGGGGAGGACACACCTGAATGTAAATGGGAAAGATAGTGTGTATTCAAATGAGCTTGGGTGGGACCCTTCTGCCCATCTGCCCCATCCCCTCACCCTCCACCCTCAGGAAAAGCTGCTGCTTACACTGCTTGGAGGCAGAGGCAGACACTGCTGGTGACTGCTGGTAGGCCAGCCCACTGCTTCCCAAACGCAGGTGCCCGTTCCCAGCCTTTCCACGCGGTCTCCCCGTGAACAGTGCCCGGCCGGGCCAGCTCTTTGCGGCACGCTGGCCGGCTGCACTCTCTTCCTGAGTCCCTGGGGTTGGGTGGGGACACTGAGGCCCAGCCATTTCTCTTCTAATGTGTGGGGGTTTTTTATTTTATTTTTTTGTTGGCTTGCTTGCTTTTTGGCATTTAGGGGAGAAGGTGGAAAGGAGCAAAAGGCCCTACTTAGATCCATCTCCTGTGCTCTGAGCTCATGTTTACAGGGCTCTGCACTGGAACACTGATCACTGTGCAGCTCTTTACCTGGATATTTTAACCTCTGCTCTGCTCTTCTCTTGGATATAGTTACTTCTTTATCTCATAGGTGAGGTCAGGGTGACTTCAGGGAAAGGCTATCAGAATTCCTGGGTCCCTGACTCCAGTGCCATCAAATCAGCACCAAAATCCCCAGCCAGTCTCTAAACAAACTATTTTTCTTTTTCTACCATTAGGTTGCAATAATCTTTCAACTCCCCTCATTCTACCCAGCTGAAATATCTAAATTAGTCTCTCCATTAGTCACGCCACCACCATAACAGTGGTTACCACCACCGTCCACATCAATGCCCCTTCCCACAGTCATCCGGGTGCACCAGAAGAGAGCAAGCCTCTCTTGCTTTCCCTGCTGGGTCCCAGTTCAACCTCAGCTCCCGGAAACAAAGCCTCTGCAGCTAGCCAAGCGCCCTGGTTCACTCTCGGGAGTGAGTCCACCCGCTTCCCTGTCATCAATACTGTCTTCATGGCACTGAGCTGATTATGTGGAAGTTGTTTCTCTTGGAAAAGGTTAGGTCAGCACTCAATCCCACTCATGCTCAGCCCCCAGCCCACTGCTTCTTGGAGCTGGCCATCTCATGACTCCTACTAGAAACCCATCACCCTTCAAACCCCAACCACAATCCTCACTCATTCCCAAGTCCACAGCCTCTCACTCCTCCTTGGCCCGGGCCATGAGCCCTCCTGGGACCAGAACTTTCCTCCCACTGTGAACCCATTCTCGGCTACTTGAAGCCATCCTCTTTGGCAAGGTCTCTTTCCCCTAATCCCCCAGCCTGCCACCCAAGCGTAATCACTTTCATAACACACCTCTTCTATTAATACTCGCAGGCAATGAGGACTAACTGAGAGAAGTCACATAACTGTGACCCAGCCAGTCAACCTGCAAGGAGTGCATCTAATTTCAGCTTGCTTCTTATCCCTGAAGGTTCTATCTCTGTGGCCTCACTGAATCTTTAGTGCAGTTTCACTTTAAACTGTAGACCCTATTATTTCTGTGGAATCTCTTTATTTCCTTCTATGATCTAGTTCAGGGGTGGGCAAACTTTTTGACTCGAGGGCCACAATGGGTTCTTAAACTGGACTGGAGGGCCGGAACAAAAGCATGGATGGAGTGTTTGTGTGAACTAATATAAATTCAAAGTAAACATCATTACATAAAAGGATACTGTCTTTTTTTTCAATAGTTTTATTCATTTTAAACGGGCCGTATCCGGCCCGCGGGCCGTAGTTTGCCCACGGTTGATCTAGTTTCTGCCGGTTTGATTCCTGGTCATCCTGACACAAAGGCCCCAGTATCTGGTCCCATCACACTCCTTGCCTCTTTCCTGGCTGCCCCTTCACAAGGTGAATCCTTTCCTTCTTCCCGGTCCTCTCCTCTCTGGCTCCGATGAGCCTGTGCGATGGGGCTCTCCCACCTGTTTTCAGACCCTACTTAGCCTGTTCTCAGGCTTCCTCCTGTCCACACGGCTCAGTCCTGTCTCTAAGAAGTAAGGCCTCCAGCCTGAAGAGAGCTTTCCCTCCTAAGACTATGTGGGCTATCCGGAACTGGACTATACATTATAAAAATGTCTCCAAGGCTGAGAGCAACACATCTCAAAAATATCTCCTGCCTCAATAACTCTCTCATCATAGGTGTTTCTTTTGCTCTTTCTCTCCCTGCCGCTCTGAAATCAATGCAAATATATTTTTAAAAAGCAAACCTCCTTTCTGATTCAGAATCCCACTCTAGAAAAGCCCTTAGAGATTGCTGGTCTGAGCCACTGGATTTAAGAGACAAGAATCTCCAGGGAAAGGTTTCCAGGGGCTGCCCAAGGTCACTGCCAGTCAGCAGAGGCCAAGATCACTGCCGTCTCCAGAGACTCTGGTGCTCCCTCTCTGGTGTTACCCTGTTCTGTGCTCGGCTGGCACCACGGTCCAAGTCAGAGAATCATGGAAAGCAACTTCTGTACTCCATCCTGCCTTACCGGCAGTATCCTCAAGGCTCAAGATGGGGCTATAGCTCAGGGCAGTACCAGGATGAGGTGAGGAAACCGTCCTCTTCCCATTCAGAAAACCACCAAGACCAGCACAGAGGGAGGGAAAAGTGGAGGCAATTTGCTATAGGTTACCTAGTCAGAGGGTCCAACCTGTAAACCCTGGGTGATAAAGATAACACTCCCCCCTCCCCCTTGCTCTATGACTACGTTGTTGCTGCATCAAGAGAGACCCTTTCTATGCAATTAATTGCTTCAGCCCTCTGCTTCAGAAAGCCTGCAGGAAGTGGGGCGCTGAATGTTAGAATGGGAGGGGGTTTACCTACCGCTCTCCGTGCTCCAGATAATACCCACAGTCTAATTTCTCCAACCAGGAAATACATCAGGGGCTTAGGGGACGTCTCCTCTTAAGTTTCATATAGCCTTTAAGTCAAAGGCTATGGGTTCTGCATTACCTGGGGAGTAGCCTGAAGGTAGATGAAGCCATGTAATTGGAGCTGGCTGGCAAACTCCTGCAGGAGAAAAGAATGCCAGTCCTGGTAGATATGCCACTCCATGTCATTGAGGGAGCCATTTTCAAACAGATTCTTTGCAAAGATATACCTGGTTGGAAATGCAAGCGGGGTGGTGGGAGGGGAGAAGAATGGGAAATGGAATGGGCAAAAGAGAGAAAGAAGCAGAAAAATCAATAACCAACTTGCTCCACGTCTGTTCAAACCAATGAACCCTTTTCAATTTTGAAGAAATCTGAATTTTTAACATATATCCCCCTCCTGCTCGACACTAAGATGGAAAATAGCATTTAGACGTTAGAAGCCCAAATCACAGCTCTCCAGACGAATCCACGGGAGGAAAGAGGGCCCTGGAAGAGTGTATTTATCATTGGTCGCTAACCACTTTTCCTGCCAGAAACCAGTCAGAACATACGGCAAATGGTGCATGTATACTCAAACGTTTGAGACTTTCTTATTATTACTGTAGCAGCCCTCAAACAAAAGCCAACCTAGCATAAAGCACCCACCACAAGTCATTTAAAGACTGAGGGCTTCTGCGTCTCCAGGCTGCTGAGCCAGCCTGCTGTTTAGCTGAGAAGTGGAGAAGGGGCTGGATCTCCATAGGTGGCATCACCCATGAAGCAGGAGATGCATTTCCTACTAACTGCGGGATTACCAAGGAAGCAGACTTTCCTTCAAAGTACACGAGCTCTTTCCTTGCTTCATTTGCTGCTGAGCCTCCTAGATATAGGAAAGCTAAAGCTAAAAATCGACTAGCTTTGCCCCTTGCTTACTTACTAAAGGAGCATCTGGAGAATAGGAAATCAGAGCCAACCAGAAACCATGGCTTCAGAAGGGTCAATTCTGCTTTCAATCTCAGGCATCTTGACACAAAACACAACTTACAGCCTAAACAATGAATTGCAGTTTCTAAGGCAACGCTCAGCAACTGGCCACTTGTGAGAAAATGAAATTCGGAATTCTTGTGTACGAATGGCTCGGGGAAGCATACACTGCATGGTTGTGTGTTGTGATAAAGAGAATGGGCTGCAGAATCTCATTCCTGAGTCCGATCCTAGCTCCAGATATTCACTAGCTGGGTCACTGTGGGCACATCATCCAACTCTCTCAGCCTGTTTCTTCCTTTGCTTAAAGAGAGAGCTGTAGAGGCCTGGCTGGTGTAGATCAGTGGTTGAGAGTCAGTCCGTGAACCAGGAGGTCACGGTTTGATTCCTGGTCAGGGTTCATGACTAGGTTGTGGGCTTGATCCCCAGTGGAGGTGTGCAGGGGGCAGCTGATGGATGATTCTCTCACATCATTGATGTTTCTCTCCCTCTCCCTTCCTCTCTCTGAAACCAAATATGATTTTTAAAATCATATTTTAAAAAGGAGAGAACAGTAGAAACTAACTCACAGAGTTGTGAGGATTGTACATAACTCACAAGTACTTAGAGGAATGAATGGCACCTAGTATTCAAGGCGTCTTAACCGTCATTGTAACTACTTCTTTGCACATTACTTCTTCTATGAAGAAACCAATTTGAGAGCTCCAGAGATCAACTCTTCCAAGCTGGAATTTTAGATAGAGCTGAGCTAAAGGTAAAAAGAGGTGACTTCTGTAACTCAATTTCTGAAAAATCTTTTCCACTTCTTCACAGGTAACATGGAAATTAAGATCTATATAGAGAAACTGACTTTCGGTTAATAAGCCCTATAAAAGGGCCCTCCCCATTCCTGAGGAAGAGCACTTCATTTTTCCAAAGCCAGGGGTGATGGGAGGTGAGAAGGGCCTGGTGCTGAGTGCTAAGGGGGGAGAGAGTACCACAGCTGTCTCAGTGCAGGGGCTGCCAAAAATCAACTTAAGACCTGCTCTAAAAACATATGCTATTGTTTCTCATAACTCAAACAGAAAAGATTTCAATTTCTTCCTCCCCGTCATCCACTCTCCCAAACAACCCGTGTTCCTCCTTTGAAACACACGTAACATGCGATCACACATGCAGTCTCAGAGCTCCCTGCTGGACTAAGGTCACTGTGAAGGCAGGAAGGGGTTGTGTTTTGCTTCCTGTTGCAGCCCCCAGGCCTGGCCTGGCGCCTGCACCCAGGCGACAGTTGATGTATCTGTGATGAGTGAATGCAACACATGAATGAATGTTTAAGAGTGAAAAGGCTCTAAATTACCATCAGGACTAGAATGTGTAATTAGTTATCCTTTCTGTCTCAAAAATGCTCCTTCTGAAGAAAACATCTAGGATGTGGTAGCTACCTATAGTGCAATCAATTCTCATCTCTTCCCAGTAAATGGTAAGATCTTGTAGCTTCTGAACAAAATATTTCTTTCTCTTTTTTTAGGATGTTTATTTATTTTTAAAAATCTTTATTGTTGCCCTAACTGGTTTGGCTCAGCGGATAGAGACCTGCGGACTCAGCGGTCCCAGGTTCGATTCTGGTCTAGGGCATGTACCTTGGTTGTGGGCACATCCCCAGTGGGGAGTGTGCAGGAGGAGGCTGATCGATGTTTCTCTCTCAGCGATGTTTCTAACTCTCTATCCCTCTCCCTTCCTCTCT